GCATATATATTGGGTATGTTTTTGGTATGTCGTTAAGGGTATTTAACTTCAGAAATATTATATAATAATTATAGAAGAAGAATACTCTTCTAATAATATATTTTTGGTATGTGTTGATAGTAGTTAACAGGTGTAGTCTTTTACAGAAATATATATAATAATTATGGCAGAAGACTATAGTAAAAACACATATGCTAAGAGATGAGTAATGACAGACTCGTGAACTAATCATTACTCGAATGACGACGCAAGCATGAATCATTCATCACTCAAATGACGACACAAGCGTGAATTGTTCGTCACTCGAATGATAGAGTGAATACTAATATATCTCTGACAATGCAAGCACGAATCATTCATCACTCAAATAATGACGCAAGCTTAATAAAGGTCAAAATGAGTAGCTATAAAACAAGTAGGTAACAATATACCTATAAGTAGGTAACAATATATACTCATAAATAGGTAACAACCTAATGTAAGTAGGCAGCAATATATATATATTGCTGCCTACTAAATGCTATTGGCAAAATCAATATAAGCCAGATCATAAGGGATTAGTATTTGAAAAAGTGACTGAAATTTCTGCAAAACCTAAGAGAGGAATAGTCGAAAGAATAGGTAATGCTATATCAAATCCACATCCTCTTGTGGAATTATCAGAAATGATAATTAATTAAAGGATGCTTCAGAAGTATATCTCAATTTTTTGGATATTGCAAAAACAACAACACTTATTTGTTCTCCCTCAGGGATATGAAAAACTACTGCGTTAAGAGAAAATATTATGGTATTAAAAGATAAAGTACATAATATTTCTTTCTTACTATGCTATATTTGAATTTCTTATCAAAAGTCTCTTAGCAATGAATCGAAATCCAAACTTAATAAGTTAAAAGCATCTGGCTTCTGAATTTGCAACTACCAAAATATGCAAGGAGACTTATTTATAAATAAGTGGAATATTATCATAGTACAGATTGAGAGCCTCCTTCATGTTGAATTCACAGCCCATCTGTTTGTAGCTATTTTTAATAAAGCTAATGCCATTATGTACCAAATATCTAGTGGTACAAATGCACAGGAATCTGAAAACGCAATGTATGATGTCTTAAGATTTGCGAGACATGTTTTGGCTATGGATGCCTTTGCAAATAAATTAACATTAGCATTTCTTAAGATATATTGTGATAAAGATATTCGTATAATTGATAATAGATACCGGCCTTGTATAGGTAAGATAGTTGAATTTATTTATAATTTAAATAGTGAAGCAGAAGCTATACGAATAGAAGAATATGACCTTTTGAAGCAGGGTAAATGTGTGGCATTTGTATTTACTGGAGTGGTGATAGCTAGAGTGTTAGTGAAAAAAGCATCTAAGTTGTCTAAACCTGATAATTCGTCTGTTAGAGCCTGTGCTTATTATGAAGATATGGATAGAAAACAACGTCAAAAAGACTTTTCTGATATTAATGTTACTTGGAGTGAGCTTGACTATATAGCTTATACAAATACAGTAAAGGCAAGAATATTATTCAAGGTTATAGATCACTTCAATATAGTTATAGCTATTACAAACATTACTACTCCAGTTTATGTCGAAGCTCTTGCACAAATGCTTTATCAAATTTGTGATTGTCCTTGCCGTATTATTTCTATATTCTATCAGAAAAATTCTAACGAACTTTTTTGCCCACCAGGTTATGAAAATATTAGAGCAGAACTTGAAAGTGCTCGGCCTAATAACTTATCTATAGCAATAAAAGGTCATTGTGAATAGGATAACAATACTGTTTCTTATAAAATTGATGAATCTTTGGCTGTAATAATATTTATTGAAGTTGAGCATCAGAAATGCCTTTTTGCAAGATATTTTATTGAGAAGCTTTGTAATCTTATAGCTAGTACTGGTGCTTCTTTTTAACTAATAAAAATAGATGAAAGCTAAGAAGTTATAGGGAACTATAAAAGAATCTGTAATGAGATTAGTGTTGAAGTATTAGTTATTAAAGAAACAGATTTTAATGCAGTTGCTACTTCTCGAAATCTTAGTCTTAAAGAAGCTGAAGTTCTTAAATTCGACCAAGAGCGCTCTATTACAGATACTATGGTATTTAAACGTTTTTATATACAGAATCTTTATTGCAAAGACATAAGTATTGAGGATTGGAATAATATTTGCAATAGAAAATTTGTTAAAAATTTTAGTTCACCTGAAGTTTGGAAGCATTTCTTATAATTGTCTTATTTTCAAAAGCAAGGTTATAATGAGGAGAATGCAATGAAAGGATTGAAAACTGAGGAAAATGTATAATAGGAAATGGCCTGTCATAAAGCCAAAGAGAATCTGAAAAAATTAGTGGCAGAAGACTTGCATAAATCTTATTTAGTAAATCATTAAAAGGCTATAAGAGAACTCTTTCAAATATTAGGCTTTACTAGCATTGATGATAAATATATTCTTCCTGGTAATATTGTATCAGAATCATTCATGCAATCCTGTGAAAGATTTATAGAAATTCGAAATCAGTCTTTATCACTTTTTGGCTTTAAGTCTTATGCTAAGACAATACCAGATTTTAATTCAGCTATAAAGGCAATCAATACAATTGCTGATAATTGGTATGGCTATACTATTAAGAGCAATCGAAAAAAAATTGGGCTTAAAGAATAGTGAGTTTGGGGAATATTTATACAAAATTAATTGCAAACCATATAATAGTACTGGTTTTGGAGATAAAGACATACTAGAACTTCTACCATATAGGCTAGATACAGATACCAAGATCCAGAAACTCTTTGATTCTATAAGATAAAAAAAATTGTTATTCTGCTAGGTATCTCAACCATATTTAATTCTATTTTATCTTTTTTACCTGCCAGGCTTTCTTATAAATTTCACCATATGTGCTACAGATTCTAGTCTTGGCATAGGTTAGCTCATTACAGATAGGGCATATTGTTTTAGGACATTTTTTATAGTGTATGGCACATTCTAATTCACACTAGCACTCTTTTCTACAAATTGAACAATCTTTCTTAATATATTGGCAAGATAAACAATTCATATAAGTTGAACTATCTTTCTTGATGTATTAGCAGGATAGACGATCCATATGAGATAATTTTGATATTAATAATCTCAAAACTTCATCTTCACTTTTATTATAGATATTTAAAAATATGATGTCTTAGTAGTCATATCTCTTGAAATACTATATAATCAAAGAACCCAGGTGGGATATTTTTTTTGAATTGAACTTTTTTATATATGTATAAGTAGATAGCAATTACAACTACTTATTATATATTATTGATATAACTACCACTCAGAAGGCTTGAAAATCCAAAACTAATAACTATGTTTTGATCCTAGACAAGTTCTTAGAAAATTGTAATTTGTTGGCTAGCTCTACTCTAGAACAATTGCATGAACATGCTTTCAAACTTGATACTTTGATTTCCAATTGGAAGGCCTGCAAGTGTGTTAAAGAAGCCCTTGCAAGAACTGGCTAGTCAAGACATCTGTTTAGCAAAGAGCAGATAGAGGCTCTCCTGCCAGACAAAAAAAAGAAAAAATTTACTATAAAGAAAAGAGCAAAATACTGCACTATAGCTGGTAATGTTATAGACATTTTCACCCATCATCTAGACTTAGGTCCGAAAAATAAAGATGAAAATAAAATAGTTGCTAGTAGCTCACGCCAGTCACAATTCTATATGAAGTTAGCAGAAGCTGGAGTAAATCCTAAAATTATTAATACTTGGGACAAAGATCAGGAACTTATTCAATATTTTAATAAAATTTAGAGAAAATGAACTAAGAAACGAATGGCTAATTTAGATAGAATTCCCATTCATTTCTCCTTAGCAAGGGTATCTAAAAGGCTTCAGAATATAGATATATCTAAAATTTCTACTAGAGGGAATCTTGTGGATGTGATAGTGATGTTGAGTATAAGAACTACAGAAGTAAAATCTCTTTAGATCAATTACTATAAACCAGACTCTTTGGATATTCCAGCATGATATAAAGATAGATATTCTTGGTATTGTACAAGTTATCTAAAAAGTAGAGGGGAAAAGAAGAAGAATCCTATATCCAAACCACTCCTTTCCATGGAGAAGAATCTAGAATGTGTAAGAGAATTGCTTATCTGGATTCAAGAGGCAATTAAGGCTAGAAAGTTGCATGACCCAGTTTTTACTGAAAGTAGTAAATATAATAATACACCTTTTAATGAATTCTTAAAGCAGGAGCCTTATAAAACCCTACCTAAAAAGTTAAGAGATTACGAAAGTAAGCATTCTTACAGAATTTATGCAGGTCCAGACTCGACCCTCCAGCATCTTAGCTTGCTTACAAAAATTGCATTGAGACAAGAATCAGATCGTAAGTAACTCAGAAGATTTTTTAACACAGGTATAAAAGTGTTGATATAAAATAAAAATCTATGAAGTGTATCCTCCTTCCTTCATAATTGCTATTAAAGATCTAGCGATCCTGGCTCATACTAATTAATTCATGAATGAACAGATTGCCAAATCTGAAATGAGATTTCATAAAATCTGCAATCTAATTTTTTTAATCATAAGAGTATTTAATGTATAAAAATGAGCTAAGTATAAAAAAAAATTATAAAATACTTATCTGGTTATACTTTATATTAACACATACAAATCTAATCATATAAATTTTACTCTTGAATATGTCTATCTCTATTTCCACATCAACTGCTCCTATTAATAACATCAAAAATCTTGCATATAATATTCTAAAAACTTTCAAGGATGGTATTATTAAGGGTAAAAAAAATTACAGAACTAGGGCTATGCTCTGAATATGACAATAATATTTTAATATCTCCTCTCAAAGCATTTACATACCTAGCATGCGGACACCTTTTTCATAGACTCTGTATTAAAAAAAAGCTTTTACTTACTGTTTCAAACACATATTCATTCTTGGGTTGTGGAAAGAATATGAAAATATTAGATCAAGCCAACTCCCTTGGCACTGTTTTTAATTTGCCATTAACTAATCCCAAGGAGGCCTTCCAATCAACTAGAATTTTACTTTTGATAGGCAAAACATTTATTCTATCTTCACCACCTATATGGATGGAAGGGATTGAGAATATAGTAACCCAACAAGTCAAAAGTAATTTGAGATGTGCCAAATGTTCTGAAGATCTTTCTTCATGTTTTCCACCTATAGGCTTTCTCCTCAACTTCAAGATATCTCAAAACCACTCATATACTTAACCTACAAACATATCATCTATTGCAATTGTATCGATAATCCACAAAAACTGTATCCTATATATCTACCAACTAATATAGAAATTGATGACGGTGTTATAGTAACTGTTACCCAAGAGTTAAGTACTGCCCAGAAAAAACATTTTAGTAGCTCTTCAGAAAAATCCTCTAACACGAAAGCAAAAAAAGTTAGTAGAAAGATCTTGAGTATATTAAAACAACTTATAGAGGAATTATTAACTGATATTCCTATTGTTGATAGAAGCTTAGAGGAAAGAAGTTACACAACTGATACAGGGGTATTTTTTTGAAACTTTCTGATAGGATTGATAATGCCAAATCTAAAAACAAAGATACATCTCATGACCTTATCACTAGCTACTTTTATTTTAAGGAGACTTTAAATAATCGATATAAGAAGCTAAAACTTACTTATAGTAAAGATGGAGCTAGGGCTTTGGTCAAAAGTGAGGTTAGGAAGGAAATTCCTAAGGTGAAATTCTCCAATAATGCTTTAAAAAAAAGAATGGAAAGAGCCCAAAAGATGTTTAAAATTTTCAATAGTATAGGCAAAGAAAAAATAACACAGGTAAAATCTATCCCTCTGGGTTTTATTCTGAATCTTACCATAGATGATACTGATTATGTAATTGCTGAAGTTTTAAAAGGGTCAGGAAGCGTGTATACTGCGCCATATTCTACTGCGCTCTGGTAACATGGTGTCCCGCCTTGGCAATTAGAAAAATAGTTTTTTTTTTGCAATTGTTGATATTTTCAAAAATATATTATTAAAACATTTAATAAAAGTTTTATCCAGAGGGTGTGGCGACTTAGTGAAGTGGTGGAGTTGTCGCATTCCCAAATGGCAGGTCTAGAGTTCGAATCCCACGGATGACGATTTTGAAAAAAACTAGATCTGTATCGGTTAACGTTAAGATTATCAGTTGAATCCAGATATCTGTAATCTTGGTCACACCATCTCGAATAGGAGCTTTGGCACAATAAATCCAGGAAACTGGAATTACTGAAAACCTGTTTGGCAAGTCCCGAGTTGGGAGTAGCAGTAATCTTCGATGGTGCTACAGGAAGACTAAATTTGAAACTGGAAACTGAGACTGGAGAACCGAGTAACCAGGTCCTTAAGTGGGGGGACATACCAGCCGAACTGCCGGCTCGCCACCAGAGGAAAAGAACTTGTGCTCCAGAAGCATGTACCAAGGAAAGGAAGACTGTAAGGCACCTAGAGCCTGGGCAGACCAACCCTTCCAGGTTGCTGGCTAGAAGTAAGGAAGAGACCAATAAGGAATCCAGCTCAAAGTAAAATTTGCTATTTATATAAGAGTTAGAAGTAGAATCAGGAATTGTTATATTTTGGTTGGATAAGTAATTGGTATTTGTATTATTCTGACTATTATTATTTGCTGTGATTCTACTCGGTATCCATATTAACTTGTATATTTCTGTTATGATTGTGTAGTGTAATTCTGGGATAGAGTGGATAGCACTATTGTAGCTACAGGTAGGTGTTAGCATATCTTCTATAATTATGCCAATTGGTGTTTAGTTCATTATATGTATTCAGATAAATACTTGTGTGAAGTTGTTAGTGTTAGCCGGTGAGAGGATATATTTCCAGAGAAAGTTATTAGTAGTATTATTAAGAAGTTAAGTTAGTGTAATAGAGTTCGTTAGGCATATTAGTCAATATGCATTATTTTTGATTTTTGTGTTGCACTATATGTATAGAGATGATGTGTATTGTTTAAAGAGATTAAGTTGATTAGATAGTTCATTCATCAGAATTTTAAATTTGAAATTTTTTATCTTAGATATTTTAGTGTTTGTAAACCATTGAAGTGGTTTGTCATTGTGTTAGAAGTATAGATGCCACCGAAATTGATTTCAAAAAAGGCCTATTTCGTCTCCATTAGAGCAAATTAAAATTTTTTTATAAGAAAGAGCAAATAAATTTTATATATTTATACTCCTTATAATTTCGTCTATTCAAAAAAAGTGTTAAAAAATTTTGTCTTTTAAGTAAAATAGGTCAAAAACAATTTTGTCTTCAAATTTTAATTTCGGGTTTTAGACCCTGAAATAATTTCGTCGGCATGTATAGTTAGAAGTATAGAAAAGTTAGATTCAGATCTTTTTTAGAATAACTAGACAATATAAAAATATTATAATATTATAATATAAAAAAACACAAACCTTAACCCTAATCTAACTTTAATATACACTATAATTCTTACCTAACCCTAACTAGTCTCAAATTTGTATAATTTAAGTTAAATAGTTATTTATTTATATTATAATTTTATAGTAGTTCTATATTCCCCGCTGATCCTCTGTACCAAAAAAGAAACTAAACAAAAAACTAATAATTTACTCAAAAATAATTTCTTTATCACGAATTTATTTGTTTCTCTTAAGAAAGAAGCAAGAGCAAACAAAAGCGCACTAGGTTTACTAGAGGTATCAGCCTTGTCTACTAGCAGAATAGGAAAAAAACTAAAAATTTTACAAACGCCGTAAAATTTTCGCAAAAAGTGGGCATACTAGTTTGACCTTGTAAAGTAGATCATTCAGCACAACAACGTCAAAAAGACTTTTCTGATATTAATGTTACTTGGAGTGAGCTTGACTATATAGCTTATACAAATACAGTA